TCTTTCCCTTTTTATTTGTTTGATTATAAGTTTGCTGAGGTCAAGACCATGTCTTTCTTTATTATTCCATTTCCAATATATTCCACAGTATATAACATCTCTTTCATGTTATGCAGTGACTTGTAAATGAAAGACACTTAAAGCCACTGATGGAATACAGGTCATTCCTAAAATGTAACTTGGCTCTGAGAATTTTTATGCCTGCCGGCCTCTGGAGATCCTGCTATACTGATCATTTGCCTCATGCCCATGGATTCATAAGACCTCAACTTAGAAAATATCAAAGTGCCTATTGCATTCCACTTCTATGGCAGAAAAAAGACTTTTGAAAATGAAATATTAAATCAGAAATTTATTGTCAAAAAGAATACAAGAATTCTCTGGGGTAGCTGGGATGTTGATATATCTGATCTAATCAATTATATGTTTTACATCTATACTACTACAGAGTAAGAATTAATCATCAAAGAAGGTACCATCAAAGAAATATTTAATCATTTTCTTTCTCTTTAAAGCCTGTTTATTTTTTTATTTTATTGAAGTATAATTTACTCATAATATTATAATAACTTCAGGTGTATAACATAGTGATTAGTTATTTATATAGATTAAGCAACATACAAAATTGTTATAATATTGACTATACTCCCTGTGCTGTACACTATATACCTGTGACTTATTTATTTTATAACTGGTAGTTTAAATAATTTACTTAATGTAAATATCCCCCACTCAATCAGCTAGAAATAAATTCATTTCCACAATTTTTGAAATAGATGTCATGAGTATTAACAAAAATAAATTAATTCAATAATGTGCTTTTTGCACAATTATTATGTTCCAGGTTCTGTGCTAACTTACAGGGATACACTGATGAGCCAAACAGACATGGTGTCAGCTTTCCATTCAATTGGGTTTTTACTATAAAGGAAATTGAGAATTCAGTTAGTCAGTTAGATCTGGATATATTTATGATGTACCTTTATTATAAGTTAGTCTGCAAACTGTGGTTTGGTTTCACTAAGAGGAATCCCCAAACATTTGAAAGAGATACAAATGATGCCGCTGAACTGGGCAGCTAAAGAATGGAACAAACCAAATTAGTGCCTAATTGCTAGTAGCTTATAATCGCCCTTCTTTTTTCTCCTGTTTACATTGTGTTTTTCAAATAATGTTTGCCTTTGAAATTAATGTTTAAAGGATTTTTCCAGCCAGTGGACTTGGTTGATAGCCTCATTATTTCATGGTTTCTTCTTGGTGAACATAGGGCTAAAGAAACATGTGAGGCCAAGGGCAGACTGGCCATGGCCAGTAATTTCAAATTGTGATTGCATCTGGAGTCCATCAATTCTGAAATGCTGGAGTACTACACATGTGGAGATGCTGCAGACAATCTTTAGGGGAAGAGGTGGAAAAAAATGAACAGTTGTTTTTCTTTGGAATTTTTTCAATACCCACATTTATTCCCACCTTCCTAAAATATAAAGTTTTTCATGTCTACCTCATTTTGACATAGGACTGCTGCAAAGACTCGGCAGCTCTTGGGAATTCTGTCTAAACATGATGCCTTCCAATGGCGTCTGCCAGAATTGGTTTGGCATATCTCCCAGCGAGAATCCCACTGGTAGGCTCTGTAGTTCACATATTAAAGTGAAAATAAATGTCAGTTACCCAAGCCAGGATGTAGAGAGCTAAGAGGTCATTTCTCAAATAATGCCTGGGTATAGGGTGCTGCTCAGGGTCATGAAATAAGTCTGTGTGCAACATACAGACGGGATGATATCATCCCATAGAAGGTGAGAAATTTACCACTGCTCTGGAAAGAATATTTCTCCTGATAATAAAATCAGAAAGGACATGAACAATCACAGGGAAGCATAATGGGATTTCAACCAAATAACAGTTGAATAAAGATGATCAGAATGATTCAGGCTTTACCTGATTAGGTTAAATAAGGATATAACAGACCTCACTATAATTATTTCAACTGTTAGATCTCTTTTAATCCCTAGAAAAAAGCTCAACTTGTTTTTAAAAAGTAGTTGCGATGGAGCAAGGACAAGGTATTGAAGAACCATAGTTCAACTTCATCAAAGTCCAGAGTCCAATTTTAGGCTTTAAGGAGAAGTAATCCATTCTCAGTTGGTTTTCAGTCTCATTTCAGCATCACAATCATCACCATTATCATCACCACCACCAACACTAACCATCTGCACCACCATCATAAATAACAACTTGCTCTTCATTAGCCAAAGCAATGGGAACACGGCACTCTATTAGGTATTAAGGCATTAATTCATTCTTTATATTTGAACCATAACGAAAGAAAAAGATGTGAGTTTTTATAATTCGTCACCAATGATTTTAAAATGTTAAGCATAAATTAGGATACTAAGAATAAAAAATACTACTTTAAGACTTAGGTGTCTTTACATAGCATTAATGCTAAGGTTGCAAAATGCATTATAAGAGAGCATGAAAACAGCCATTGCTCTGACTACAAAGACCAAGGAAGATAAAAGAGAAATGCAAATCAAAACTACAATGAGATATCATCTCACACCGGTCAGAATGGCCATCATCAAAAAGTTTAGAAACAGTAAATGCTGGAGAGGGTGTGGAGAAAAGGGAACACTCTTGCACTGTTGGTGGGAATGTATATTGATACAGCCACTATGGAGAACAGTATGGAGGTTCCTTAAAAAACTAAAAATAGAACTACCATACGACCCAGCAATCCCACTACTGGGCATATACCCTGAGCAAACCAGAATTCAAAAAAGAGTCGTGTACCAATATGTTCACTGCAGCTCTATTTACAATAGCCAGGACATGGAAGCAACCTAAGTGTCCATCAACAGATGAATGGATAAAGAAGATGTGGCACATATATACAATGGAATATTACCCGGCCATAAAAAGAAATGAAATTGAGTTATTTGTAGTGAGGTGGATGGACCTAGAGTCTGTCATACAGAGTGAAGTAAGTCAGAAACAGAAAAACAAATACCATATGCTAACACATATATATGGAATCTAAGAAAAAAAAAAAAAAGGTCATGAAGAACCTAGGAGTAAGACGGGAATAAAGACACAGACCTACTAGAGAATGGACTTGAGGATATGGGGAGGGGGAAGGGTAAGCTGTGACAAAGTGAGAGAGTGGCACAGACATATATACACGACCAAATGTAAAATAGATAGCTAGTGGGAAGCAGCTGCATAGCACAAGGAGATCAGCTTGGTGGTTTGTGACCACCTGGAGGGGTGGGAGACGCAAGAGGGAAGAGACATGGAAACATATGTATATGTATAACTGATTCACTTTGTTATAAAGCAGAAACTAACACACCATTGTAAAGCAATTATACTCCAATAAAGATGTTAAAAAAAAAAAAATCTCACCTAACTTGAAAATCTCCAACATCACCTTCATACGCAAGACGCATATTTCCTGTTAGTCAGGTCAATTGGGTCTGATTTGTTGCTGCTAGGCCTCTGGTAGGAAACTCTCAAAGACAAGACCTAAGGCCTTTTTCTTCAAGGTGATTTAATTCCCATCAACAAATTAATCAGACAATGGTAATGATCTGAATTACTTAAGCAATAATTTAAAATATTTTTCAACACTGGTATATTTACAGTACTTGGGCAAACTTCTTTGGGCTTTCATTCTTTCACAAAACAAACATTCATTGAGTACCTACTGTATTTCTGACCCTTTATGACCTCAAAGATCTCACAGAATATTGTATACAAAGACATATTATGTGCAATTAGGAACTAAATCTCTTTCTAGTAGTCAGTTCATTGAAACAGAAAGGTGGGCAGAAGTTAATGAGTATCTATGTGCCAAGAATCTAACTCTAGACCCATCATTTATTTTTCTCAATAGCCCTATGAAATACTACTGCCATTTTACAGATTAAAAAACTAAGGCTCAAAATGGTTAAATAATCCATGGTATCTGGTTTATACTTCAATGGAGATAATAATGGTATCTATACACTAATATGTATAAAATAACTATTAAGAACCTACTGTATAAAAAAAATAATAAAATTCAAAAAAAAAATCAAGATGAGTGTTTTTACCTTTGTGTAAAAAAAAAATAATAATGGTATCATTGTGGTCATTGTGGATTAGCTAAACTAATATACATAAAACACAAAAAATTCCTGGCACATAGTAGGCACTATGTAATTTTTGCTATTATATTCCATTATATGGTAAAGTAGGACAAAGAATGATAAAATAAGTATACAGTATTTACAATGTATGTGTACAAATGTATTATCTAGACATTTACACATGAAACTTGATCACAATTCTCACACTTGCATATAGTATTTAGGTTACACATCCTGGTAGTAAATAATACTTATTATATATTATTTTATTCGTCTGAAATTTGAGATGTTTCTAGACACTCAAAATGTATTAGAAATTTCAATAAAAATAGATAAATTTAGTTTTACTGATGGAAAAAATACTCACCAATACCTATGTCACCTGGCACATGTTAAAAAAGAGTTATGATGATGTAATGAACATATGGT